CACTTTTATATTAAAAAGATTTTCGCTATACGCGCGGGTCGGGTCGCTCATTTGCATGGCGTTTGTCCCCCCGGTCCCTTGATGGGGGCGGCCATGCTCCAACGCAAAAAAAAGAGCGTAATAAAATAAACAAGTGTCCTGGAAAAAAAAAAAGGAAACACTGTGGGTCTACTGGCCCAATGTCCCGGACTCCGACAAAATGGTGTGAAAGTGATTTATATTTTAATTCGAAAATGAATTATTTAGTACACTTTTTAATTCCTTTTTAGCTCTCTCTCTCCCTGCCTCACTGCCCCTCTGCGACTCTGCCGCTCGTTTTATGGCTCGAATCTGAAATTCTGATTACTTTTTATTTGTGCTTTCGCTATTCGCTTTGACAGTTTATTGCATTTCGTTTCGTTTGGGTTCGCCCAAAAGAAATGCAAATATTTCGGCTCATTATTGCGCCACATTTAACGCGGTCCCAAAAAGAGGCCTAAAAGCTGTTGACAGTTGGACAAGATAACATTCTCCAGCCTCTCCCACAGACGATTTGCTGCTCAAGCGTGCAACGACATCACCTTGTGGCATGGGGGCGGGGCACAAACTTCAGCATAACATGCATAATAAAGCAGGCACTGGGAAGCAATGCCTGAGTGGATGGATGCTCCACCATCTTGCAGGACATCAAGGCGGAACATCAGTAACAGCAACCAGAACTTGTGCCTTTCTGCCCCATTTATGAGTACCCCATATCCATAAGTATATTCTCGTGTTTTTCGGGGGCATGGGTAAATATGCTTGTTGTATCGACAGAAAATTTAAACGGCTGCATGCCGCATTCGCATTCTCTTGCAACTGATTATTACGATGCAGCACTAACAATCCTGGCAGCCAGGAAAAACACACACAACAACGAAATAGCGAAACGAGCACAAAAAAAAACAGAAAGGAGGAATAGAATTTGCAGGGTCCTGGTGGCCAGACTGCAGTTGAGAAAAAAATTTGAATATAAAATGCGTTATGCGGTGGGTATCCTGGTGGTGGTTGGTGGTGGTTCTGGTTCTGGGGCAGCAGCAGATCCTGCGGCAACAATGAAATTGCGTATGTAAATTTTATGTCGTTACCAACGGCGGCGGCAACATTGCTGAAATAATTAAAGTGGAATCCTGCTGTTGCACCCACAAGCAGAGGAGCAAAAAAAAAAAACGAAAAATCGCGAACGCGGGGCAGTTTTTTGAAGGAGTGGAAGTTGTACATAGTTCTGGTTATGTCCTTAGTCCTGGAGTCCTTGTCCCGTTTTGTCTATTGCCAGCTTGGCAGATTTCTTTTTTTTTTTCTTTACTTTTTTTTCTGCACTTGTCCTCCGTCCCGTCCATATGCAAAACAGTGTCAGCAGCCGCACAGCTGCTTCTGGCTTCAGGAGCTGCTCCGGCCACTCCTTGGTACTGTGACCCCCCCTCTTGCTGCTTGCATTGCAAATGTGACTCTGACTCTGCCACTGCTTTTGCCTTTGCCTCTGCCTCTAACTGTGTCTGCAACTCTGACTGCAACTTGTCAAAAAATGTCGCAACAACAGCAGCAGCAGCAGCGACAGCAGCGACAGCGAAGCGGTGGAATGGCAAACGGTTTGGCTTTGGTTTTGGTTTTGCTTTGGCATAAATATGAGTGCCATCAAATTAATATGCACGGGGCATATGGCTGCAACGATTTTGTGGTACAACATGTTAAGTGCATTCAACGGCAGCTGCTGCATCTTGGTGCTTGGGGACACAACTGCATAATGCAGGCAGAAGCAGCAGCAGCAGCAGCACCAGAAGCAGCAGCATAGCCAAAAGATGACTCCTCGGCGGCATCTTGGCAGGTTTTTCACGCTTCTTGAGTGACAAGCACACGGATGTGGCTGGCGCATGAGTTATGATGCTTAGCCGCATTGCTGCGTTTTCCACTGCCACAGCGACCCGACTCTCTGTGGCGGGTGTGGCTGCGGCTGTGGCTGGCGTGGCAAAGATAAAACTCACATCTCCTCCAGCGCTTTTCAAGTGTGCAGCATTCAGCATGCAGCATGGGAGAGAGAAGGAGCGTTTAATTTGACTCGCAAGTTGGCAACCGGCACTGTCCATGGGTGTAAAGCTTTTAGCGGAATTGTCTGTGGCATGTGTGGCCCCCACTACTCTCTTTGGCACATGTTGCACTGTCAGCTCAAGTGCAACTCCAGGTGAAAAAAAAAAATAAAAAAAATATCCTACACTTCGCCGTAGCCGTCGCCGTCGCCGTCACCTGTGCCCTTTGTTAATATTTCAAATGGGTCTCTGAGCGCCGCACATTTGTGGCATGGCGCTGTCTTTCGCTGGCGTTATTTAAAAGCTTTTCATTCCCCGACGCACAAACAAATGCCAAAAAATTGTCAAAGATCCAGAATTGAGGGGAGTCCAAGTCCATCCAAGTTATTTGCTAGCTGATGATCTATTTAAATCAAGATTAGTGGCATTTTCCCTGCTCAAGCAGCATGGCTAATGACATGTGAAATGTGTTGATAAAAAGCGTGAGAATGTCACAAAGATATTATAAATTTGCGTTTGCCAAGCGTTTGGCAGCTGTTGATTCAGTCGCTGCTTCAACGCTTCACTGAGCAAAAAGTGGGGCCACTTTCGGCCGCCCTTTCGATAATCCCAGGCTAAAGAATCTAGACGGATGCCGGTTGCTGGGTGCTGGATGAGCCGCAACGGCGTAACGCCCCAGCCGTCACGTCACGCAGTTGTCCGTACGGTCAAATGGGGGGCGTGCCACCCAGTGGCATATTAGCCACGCATCAACGGACACACACACACACACACGCACACACACATACACTGACAGCCTGGAATTTAGCCCCAAGGAAGGCAACTGCTGTCGCATTTGATTAGACTTTGTTTGCTTTTCTTTTGCAAGGGGTTCTGTCCGGTCCTGTCTGCCTCAAAAGGATATTGATAAAGGCATTTGTCTCTCTTTTGCTCTCTCTCTCTCTCTCTCTGTTTGAGTGGGTGTGTGTATGTGTGTAAAGGTGCGTTGCAAAAGTTGAGTCAAAGGTTTCAACGGTTTCTCTACTGGCTGTGGCTGTAACTGTGACTGTGTGTGTGGGGAGTGTCATGGAGCCAGACAGATTCGGACAAGTGGCAACCGCTGCGTCGCAGTGGGGTGCCCCCAAAAATGGGCCTCTGGCCGAAATCATAAATTATTTTATTAAGCCACTTCGGCCGGCCCTTCGGCACACCCCAAAGTTATGTGAATTATTTTGCAAAAGTTAATTTCATGCAATAAATTCCAAATCGCGTTGCCAGCCAGCATTTCATGCCACACACCAGGGACCGCGACCGAGACCGAGACCAGCACTCCCCTGGAGGGGATTTGGATTTCTTGTTTTTCTTGCGAGTTTTCTTCCCCTTGCCGTACGATAATGTTGAGGGTTTGGGGAATCGTGTGAAACGAAGCGCCTGCCTCCCGAAAAAGTATGCAACATAATTACATTTTCAGCAGGTGATTAAATGAGGCCGTAATTGTTTCAGCCGCTCCTTCAGTTGCTTGCCGCTCCACTAATAGCCGTAATTAGTGGCTGATCCCTTGGCGGGGGAACACCACTCCCCCAGCACTGCCCCAGGTCCCAGCTGCCCCGAAGACTGACTTTAATTTATGCCCGCGTGTCTTGGAGTCGTTTGGAGGCAGTCCGCTGTATGCCGTGTGCTGTGTGCCCTCACGGCCACATTTAAATTATTTCCATCGTGTCCGGCAATAAAACTTTTCGCTCAAAACAATAATTGAACGAATTTGTTCTGTTCAACGTTTGGCGGCCACTTAACTTTCCCATAACACTCCAACTCCTGCTCCTCCACCTCCTCTAACGTGTGTGTGTGTGTGTATCTGTAACTGGTATTCGTTTTTGTATCTGTTATTTGTCCTGGCTGCACTCAGAGAAATTGAAGCAGAAGAACTCAAAACGAAACATAGAGAATAATTAGTTTTGTTTGATTGCAGGATTATTATAGCCATATTGAACCAGAGATTAATTTGAAGCGCATCTGTGGATTGGCTCTGGCTAAATACAAAATTCTTAAATAGAAACTGAGTCCCAAACGGCACTCTAAACGCTCCGACTTGGCTGTATGTTATTTTCCCTTTTTTTTTTTTCTTACTTTTTCCAAGTGTGGATTTTAGCATTTCCCTTTCCATCTTCTTTTTGCATGGAGCATCAATAGGGATCTCTTGATAAATGTCCAATTTAATTTTGCTCTTTTTTTTGTTACTTATCTCTGGCGTTCGTTTGCGACTTCGTCTTTGACATCTGCCTGCTCCACATGGGCTTCTTCGTTTCATTTGTTCCCTCTCTCTGCCTCTGTCCACTCTATTGGCAGCTGCCTTTCCTCCTTCCCCGCCTTATTTTTTGCTTCGCACTTTATCTCATTCTTTGCCTTTTTTCCCCCTTGCGCCGCCACCCTCTGATTTTATTTCGTTTCATTGCGCGGGCACTTTGTCGGCTTCTTTTTATGCGAGTGCCAGTACGAGCACGTGGATACGCCCTGCCCTGTAATCGTGATACGAGCGAATGAATGGCAATGGCATCTTCGTTTCCCACTTAAGAGGATAAGTATTTCTTCAGCCATTCGGGCCGATTCGGAATTATGGAAAGTTCAACGGGAAAATTGCTCGTATTATTTCACAGTCCTTGCGCTTTTTTTTCGTCCCCCTCCAACTTTTGGTCAAGTCTTCTTCCTGGAAATCCGCTTGTTGTCTGTCTCCCAATTTTCGCGGAATTGTCTTTAGTGTATCTTCAGTTCGTATATACATAGATATATCTTGAACTTCAGTTTTTTTTTTCGTTTGGTTTCGCCACATCAATTGTATGATTTTTTGGTGTTTTTTTTGTTTTACTGAGCCAATTTATTTCTTCTTTTCATTTTTCTTTTGTTGGTCGGGGGGGTTTTTTTTTGCAGCTCGCGCTTTAAATGTAATTTAATTCGTCTTCCCATCTCTCTTTTTGCTTGCAGCAGACAACGCCGCCAGCAGACGGCGGCGTCTGGCGCCGGAACTGTCTAGCGGGTAAGAAATATGCTGAGGCTTTCATTTAATTGAACTTGCGTCATTTGGAGGCACACAGCCAGAGATGGTGCCATGCAGCTGCTCCATATTTAAAATGCGGTGGCGGGTGGGCGTTTCGGGTGGTGTTTCAGCTAATGGAAGACACTGACACTGATACGAACAGAGGAGCCCGAGCACCGAGCATAGAGCCGCCTCCTGTTGGTGGCATCATTTTGGTGGCACACATGTGGGCCAGCAGCAGGCTAGGCCAGGCCACTGGAGGCCGAGGCAAATATTGTCTCTCATTTGGTATGCTGTATGCCCAGACCAGAATCAATAAATCAAAGCATGGCAATGCATGGGGAAGGAGAGGATGAAAACAGTGTCCTGAATGCGACGTCACGAATGTCGCACTCTGGCGCGTGCCTTGGCCCCCAGCTGGAGCTTCCAACATATTTGCGTGTGCCAATGCAAACAATGCCGTGCTGCCATCCTGCCACCATGCCAGCCTGCTGCTCTGACATCTGCCATCCCTGAACTATCCTTTCAAGGCCGTTGCCTGCTTATGGCAACGCTATCGCGCAGCCCCCGCATTGATAGCCCCCGCGTCTAATGTTTACGGCGGCTGCCACCGTCCTCCAGGCAACAGGTTGACCCGCAAATCCCAGTCCCAGTCCCAGGCCTCTCTACAGCATGCATGAAATGCAAACTTTAACCCCCAACCCCAAGTCCATGCTTAAGCCCCCCGCTCCCCAATCTACCCAAGAAGAATGTATATAGAATATTTGCCTGCATGTCAGCTGGGACGGGACGGGCGGCGAGTGGCGACCACAAAGGCAAATACGCTTGGCTAAAACTTGAAGCGGCTCAAAAGTTTCACGTTTTAAAGGCTTAAACCTCCCACTCCCTAACGCCCCCACCCCTTCACCACTCCACCCCTCTGACGACCCCATCATCCATTCTTTGGACCATTCGCAATCCGAATAGGAGAGGCCCCCAGAGTGCGGGGCTGTGCTGATTTTTTATGCGCCGCTCTGTGGGTTTAAAAAGCAATTCCGCAACTGTTTTTGCTCCATGCTCCATATGTAACTACGAGTGAGGGAAAGAGAGGCAGGGGCAGAGGCAGAGACAGAGAGAGAGAGAGTGGAGCACATCCACATCCCAGCGGGCTGGCAACAAAGCTACAGGAGCTATCCGTAGTCCCAGATCCCCAACAATGCTGTCGTTATCGTCGTTTTCACTTCAATTAAAAGTTGGCAACTTTTCTTGCCATGTTTACCTAACTTGCCACAGGACGACGTCGACGATGAGAGCAAAGGATGTGGTGGCAGGAATACGAGCAGGAGCCGGAGCAGGAGCAGCAGTCAGGATTGGGGCTCCAATTGCCATTATGCAGATTCCTATGGCTGATTACCAAATTACAAACTGTAATGGCAGCAATTGTTTTGCCTGCTGGAACTCCAGCATATGGCATTTTGTGGCACACGCAAATAGGCCGTCAGTTGTCACAGCGAACACGAACAGCGACAACAACAACAAAACACTCAATGCTGCAGTGGAATGGAACAATGTCATGCAACAATTTTGCAGCGCAGACACACCCACTCATCCACATGCACAGAAAGAAGGTCAAAGAAAGCAGGCAGGCTGCTGATGTCCTTAGACCTTAAAGCACGTAAATGCCACCGGAGTGGGGACGAACAGCCGACTTCCGTGCTGTTCACGCCCCAATGCGTTGTCTACGTTGCATCGCTGCATCTCGTTGCCCCTCTGAGCCGAGTGCCTGCCAGGAATTTCCGCGAAACGTTAATTGCGACAAGCCAGCAGCAGCACTCGGTACCCAAACGGGGGGGAGACCCAATGGCAGAGAGACGGGCGGCACACACACACACAGGTGTAAATATAACAACTTAGTTGAGGGACTTGCAATGCACTCAAAGGAAATACTTAAACTAAAGACTCTGTGTGTGGCACACGAGCCCGAGACACATTTCTTTAGCTCGTATTTTCCACTGGGTATGCTGCCGTTCCATAAAAATATTTTCTACAAAATAATTAGATGGCAGGGACATCAAATCTGCGGCTTTTGCTACTTTATTGTCACCCCCCACACAGCTGAAGGCACAACACAAAAGCAGCTGTGTGCCACAGGGCCACACAATGCATATGTTGCAATGAGACAGCCACGGAGAGGAGGGGAGTGAACTGCTGTGGCATTTTATAGACGCGCCATTTACTCTGCCGCCACTTCTTGCCGTTTGCCTCTCGCACTCTCCCTTCCCACTTGCCATTGAAGAAGCTGCTTGGGTATCATTAAAATTGATTTTGCAGAAGGTCATGCGGATAGAGAGAGAGAGAGAGCGGTATAAGTTGGCTTTTCTATTTGCCAAACGCCAAGGAATTTGCTAAATTGCTTTTCTCCTGTGCAGCAGCCAGCTAGCAGCCACACACCTTGCCTAAGTCAGAGTCAGAGTCGGAAGCTGAAGCTGCAGAAGGAGCTGAAGCTGAATGCTGAAACCTACTTGGATGTGCGTTTGGTTTTGCAATTAGTTTTTACCTTTGGCCGCCAACAAAAAGTTGCAAGTTGCTGCTAAGTCATACAAAGGGTCAGGCACTGGGAGGGGTGGCGGGGGCGACACACACGCAACCTAAGCATTCTTTTTATTGTGGTCTATTGTATGGGGCAAGGGCGACTGTAACAAAAGCGATTAAAACAGCCATAAAACCATGAGCCCATTAATAGCCGCAATAATATTATCAGCTTATGTTCAATGCCTCATGCCGCATGCAGCATGCCGCAAACTCAAACTCAAACTCAAACTAAACTTTGTCTCTTTGGGATTTTCATTAACATTTATTGGTTTTTTACTTAGACATCAGAAACATAATAACTTTTTCCATGCCCCTTCCCTTCCCTTCCCTTCCACAATATCACAATATCCCATTCCAGCGGCAGAGAGGCTCCTCTCTCCGCTCTGTGTGGGCAGCTTCTTCTTCTTCAGCCAGCAGCCAGCAGCATCAGCATCAGCTCCTCCACAATATTTCGCGGTCGTATCAGCGTCATCATAAAATAACGTTAATGACGGGCAACAAGGTCGTAAAATCAAAATTTCTGCTATTTCAACGCTGTAACCACGGCGCAGCAGCGCTGGGAGTAGCTGATGGCTGATGCTGGCAGCTTAGCAACATTGTTGATATGAGACGAGACGAGAAGAAGTGAGCGGAGCTGAGAGAAGACGAGAGGATGCCATGGGATATGGGAATGGGATGAAGCGAATCAGACGTTCTTGATGGGAGACGGAAACAAAGGCCGCGAGTAAGTCCTCCTTGCAACCACCCATAGTGTGGCAGCATCAGGCGCCAGCAAGCCGCACAATCAAACACATACCACATCCCACAGCCCACAGCCCGCAGCCAACCCTTAATGTTACTCCGCTTCTGTACCAAGTGGCGTATGCGTAATACCGCGAAAATTTAATTACTTTAAAGGCGCCCCCAATGTGGGGAGGTCAGTGGATTGGAAAGCAGCAATAAAGACATCAAAAAGTTGAACACTGTTGCTTCTGGCTACCCACCAAAGAACGAGTAGAAAGAGGACATTTTTCGCATATAAAATCACACAGAAAATCGCCTGATTTATATTCAATTTCAGCCAGAACCCAGTAGAGAAGAGTCGCACTCAATGGAAATCGATTTTCGGGTTATGCCTAAATAAATTTCACATTCTCTGGTGTTCTTTTTCTGTGATGGGTGTCCCCTTGCAAATGGCTAGAAATAGCCAGGAATATGCTGGAAAATTTTCATTGAATGTGCTGCCACAGCAACAGCAGTTGAAAAGAGTCCTGCCATATATTCTCTTTTCTAGCACCCACCGCACCGTTGTGTTAGTGGAACGTGCAGCATTTTAAATATTCATTAGGTGGCAGGAATGAAGGCAGCATCGGGCAGGCATAGAGAGCATTGCTGGCACGGGTCAGGGTCGTCCGCCAAGTGAGAAATGATATTTGAAATTAATTTAAATCGTCGAAAATGTGAGCCACCAATGAATTGGCGATTGAAAATTGAAGCAGCTGCTTCCTGCAATCGGTGATACGAGACTTTCGGCAGCCATTGGGGGTTGGCACGGTGGGCCATGGGGCACGGTGGGCCATGGGGCACGGGGGCCATTGTGTCTGGGCCAGGGTTTATGGGCCATGGGCCAGGGTTTATGTATTGGCGTTCAGATTTTATCGCGTCGTAAATGTCTGTGCTGTGCTGTGCTGTCTGTGGCCTAAGTAAATCAGCATAAAATCCAACTAAATGAAGACAATCAAAGTGTGGCCACGCCTCGAATTGCATATAAACTCTCATACTCTTACATATGTCTATTTAGACATCTGGAGGGGCCACGACCAGGACCAGCACAGCAGCAGCCACTCCAATTGAGTCACAGAGCAGCAGCCGAGCAGCAGCCGTAGCACGAGCCCTGCCCTGCCCTACCCCGCCCTGACTCTTTGCACTCGAAATTATGCTGTGGCTAGGACTTTGCCTTTTGTCCTCATTCCTCTGAAAATATTTGCAGCAGCAGCAGCAACAGCAACAGAATGTGGCACAACAATATGGTAAACTATATAAAAATTTGCCCAGTGTCCAGGGCAGTGGCCCAAGCCCCCAGACCGGTCGACTGATGGACAAAAGGTCGGGGATAGCGACATCGTTATTGTCGTCATTGTCCTGGGCCTGGTCAAGTGGCTGGCAGCAGCAGCAGCGGCAGCGGCAGCAGGCGCAACCACGACTACGAGAAGCTGGACGGTGGCAGGACGTGGCAGGCAACATGGAAGATTTTTACGGTCCTAATAAAAGACAAACAAAAGGACCTTTGGGTTGCTTGGCTCCCTCCATGCCATGGAATGGAGCTCTCTCGTATCGCAATTTTCATTATTTTATTTGCCTATAAACGCAGCCATATTTTTGTGCTAGTGTATATGTGTCTGTGTGTGTGTGTGTGTTTAAGCTTTAGATACAAATGTATCTATAACCCACGCACGCACACACACACACACACCCACACACCCACAGTTCCATCCTGCAGTTTGTTTATTTGCCTACACTACACAATTTTAAGCAAAATAAGTAATTAAAAAAGTCATAAAGTGGTCGGCTCTTGTGCTTCCACGATGAGTATCTCTGGGGTCCATAAAAATCAATGCCGACAGTCTGGGCCGCCATGAGGCAGTGGAGAGGGAGGGAGTGGTGTGGAGTGAGTGAGTGAGTCCTTTTTCAGTCTCTGCCTCCGTCCAGTGGGTCATTCGCGCTGAGGTCAATTCACTTGACTTTAAACGATAAACATGCTCCGGCAACAACATGGCAAACAACTTGTAAGCAATTAAGGCAACGTATTGACTCCTCCTCCACTCTCTTCTCTGGCTGTTTTGCGTGTGGCAGGCATGTGGCAGGCGGAGGAGGAGTAGGAGGCAGTAAGTTCGTATAAATGTATGTGTGTGCATGTCCGGGGCAGGCTGTCGCCAAGCGTCTGCCGGACAACGGCGTCGATATCGATGTCGATGTCGTCGACATGACAGATATTTCCCTTTCCCCTCCCCCCTGGACACCGTTTTCTCCTGGCATCAACTGAAATGAAATTGTATTTCTTGATCAATATTTCCCGTAATTTAATATCAAAATCAGAACTCAGATAATTCGATTCAATGGATGGATAATTACTGTGCTCTGCTGCTGCTGCTGCTGCTGGGTTTCCCGTGCTATTCCAGTAGAGTATCTCCATTTCGGCTGTGTCCTGATGCTCCTCTCCATTTCCCTTGTTAAATATTAACTGCCAAGCCATTGTTGCTGTTCTTTTGCCCTCTGGCAGAGCTCTTGGGGGGATATACTACTAGTGTGTGTGTGCGTACAAACAGCATGTTGATCCGCTGTGGACTTTTATTTCAACATTTTTGTGGCACGCTGCTCTCTCGGGGGGCGCCACTGGCCAATTAACTAGAATTTGTCTCTCTGCTTTGTGTATCACATTTATTTCCATAAAATATTTCAGCGTATCTTGATTTATTTTAAAATAAATATATGTATGTACTTTGTCTGTTGTATCTACATATATTACACTCGAACAAAATTACTTTGATTCATTTGAAGAGGAAATTTAAATGAAAATTTTAATCACTTTTATATTTTTTATACAGGTATCAAATTTTTATTATTTGCTCTCTAGTTATTTATTTTCTAAAGTCAGGTGTAATAATGATCCGATAGCAACGTGCCCCCTCTTGAAAAAATATATCAGAAATTTTTTTATTTTCCATCGAATCATAAAAAAAATATTCTTAATTTTCTCTGTGTGTATATCCATATGTGTGTACGTATGAACATATCTCAATATATATAGTAAATTTCGGTCAATGCGCTGCACAAAAGTAAAGCGATTTTATTTTGCATAAAAAAATAAAAAGTGTTTATGCGCCTGGAAATTGAGGTCGCCGTCGTCGTCGGCGGGTTTTGGAGTACATGGGAGAGAGTGCTGCACATGTCCATGTGCATGTGCCTGTGTGTGTCTGTGGCAAGTTTTGGCTCACGGCTAAAGTGCCTCTCTAGCCCCTTCACCCCCTTCCTCACTGCTAAATGTTTGGCGACATGCACAAGAAGTACACAACGTGTACATACATATGAAAAAAATGAAAATTCTCCGCCTGTTTGGCCACATTTTGTGTGCCTTGTTCTTGCCACTGCTGCTACAATTGTTGCTATTGTTGCCGCGAAGTTGAGCTGTGTTAATGAAATGCGTTTTGGGTTTTTTTTTTTGCTGGCACAAAGCGCAACTTGCAGCAGCCACGGCGGAGGCCGAACGCGAAAACTTTTCCGACTGCAAACCCCCACCACCGCCCAGTGTACTGTACCAGCCGTAATTAAATGCAGCGCATAACTGCTCCGAGCTGCCGCTGCTGTGCTGCTGCTGCTGCTGCTGCTACAGCATTTATGTACAAGTGCACTAACACATTCGCCCTCGCACTCGCACTCGCATGTGGGTGAAAGTATTTTTTAAAGTTTTTGTTTTGTTTTTTGTTTTTGGTAGCATTTTGACCTAAAATTTCCGCAGTCTCAGTTGCAGCCACCATTGCTGTTGCTGTTGCTGTTGCTGCTGCTGTAGCTGCTGTGGCAGCCACCGCACTAATGTCAAGTATGCTTAAAGCAGCGCTGTCAGCGGCAGCCGCATATGCGCCGGCAATTATGTGCCCCCTTTCAATGGCTGCATATATGTGTGTGCGTGTGTGTGTATCTGCGGCACAAAGGCAGTAACAATAATTGCGGGTAATCAAGTAATGCTCATTTGGAGGCAAGAATAAAGTGTATCGCAATGATAAAGACATCAGAGATGGAAGCACAGTCCCGTCAAATGTGGCATGTTAATTCCAGGCGAAAGAACATCACATCACCTTGCCGCACAGCACAAACACACACATACACGCCCTGATGTCCCAAACTGATTGAAGTGCGACGCCTCAACGATAAGGACATTTAACTGTGCAAACGTGTTGGCAGCCCCTCTCTGATATCCGATGGAAATGTCTGCTGCCTGCTGCCTACAAATGCGATGCGTAAAAGGTGCGACACTTGAGAAACATTTCAATACACACACACACACACACATACGCACACACACAGATGTGACACAGATGCGTGAGCGCCTGCTTCAAGGGCCTGGCGTTAGTCCTGGCAAATTGCGGTTTTATTGCAGTCAACTGTAAGAAGAGCAAACAGGGAAACAGAAAAACAACAAGAGACACACACCACACCCTTCCCCACTCATTCCGTTTGGAAAATTCCCAGACAAACAAGAGCCAAGTCAAATGTAAAATGAAACAAATTGCTGCCTTTGCTCATTGCAAACATTTATTTGCACATAAGCCAGTTCGTTCAACAATTTTTAATTCAATGTTGCCCCATGCCCCATGAATGCCAAGTGGATAGTGTTGTTGTTGTTGTTGCATGTGGCAGAGGCAGACTAGACAGGGTTCTGACTGTGTTCGAATTTTGCAATTGATGAAAGCTGTAATTTGGCTGGCAATCAAGTGCTGCTGCCGCCTCTCAAAGCGTAACCACAGGACCAGATTTTTGGCATATTTCTGTTGGATATAGAAAATATCCGAGAGTTAAAAGATGAGTGGTATGAAAAGATCAATCTCATATCCTTTCAGTGAGTTAACAAATAGGAATTTCTGAGTTGGTTGGATGCTCCCAAAAACCAATTTTTAAAGTCATTGAGAATTTTTGATATTGTTTGAGTTTGGACTCACAAAAATATCAAAACAACGCACGGTACATAAACTTCAAAAACATCATTCTTTAAGGGTATACGAAAAAGTCTTCCGCACTAGCCCCATCTACCCTTTCCTCGCTTGTTCTTGCCAGTATTTCCATCAATATCTGGCAACTTTTAAGCTTCCACCTTCTCGACTTTACCTACATTTATTTTAATTTATTTGCCTTTATTACAGACACACTCCTACCCAGAACACACACACACACACAGATAGTCGTATATCAACAACGTAACATCAGCGCCTTGGCAAAAGGCTAAGAGAGTTGCCTTTTTAAAAAAGCAAACTTTTGCTTTGCTTTGTGCAAAGAGCTAAAAAATAAAAACAAAAAAAAAAAGCAGAAGCAGAAGCAGCAGAATCAGCGGCGGCGGCAGCAACAGCAGCAGCAGCAACACCCCAACAACAGTTTAGCTCGTGTGGCAGAGTGGCTGGCAGAGCGAGTATGTGGCAGTGTGTGCTGAGCAGCAGGCTGTCAAAAAGTTACTTATTTTCTTTTAAAAACTTGTATGAGTCTTTTGGCGCTGTTTTCGCCCTTATCCCTCGATCCCTTGACTTTCGACCTCGCCTTCTCTTTGGCGTCCTGTCGACGTCCTGATTGCTCTGCCGCCGCTTCTGCCCTGTGCGATGTTTACACAGCTTTTGCTTTTGATAAGGTTAATCAAAAGTTTTTTAATCCATTCTGCATACAGGCAAACATAGACCCGCCCCCGACACACGAGGGGCGACCAGAGTGTGCCACAAGAGGCTGCCAAAGGGGGGGAGGGCAGAGAGATCATCAGTATCAGATTCGTGTGTCCTCATTATACATTAGTGGCAGAGGAGCAGCAAAGGATGTGCCGGAGTGGAGCAAAGCAAAGCAAAGGAAAGCGCGATACGGAGGCCAAATTGAGAGCCCGCGGCCCATTCGAACATTTCAACGCTGCAAAGTGAATTTCATGAATGGCAAATTACGAGTACTCGTATATGTAGGAGTATTTGTTGTCTTCAAGTTTGGCCAACTCGCGCGAGAACTAACCCACTCTGCCACACTGCCACACTGGCACTCGACCACTCCGTTCCACTCTCCACTCTCCCCTCTGCCCACTTTTGCTGTTTAAAAATCGCATAATTTATGTGGCAAAGTTCAGGGAAATCACTTTGCTGGCAAGAAAACTTTGCAATTAAGCGTTGAGAGACATTTGGCAAGCGGCAAAGTGAATTGAACCGCTGTCGGAGCCCAGTGAGGGTGAACCACTACCTGCGCCACGCCCGCCAACACCACCACCACCCAACCACCACCACCTGGTTGCAAACAGCCACCAGGCAGCCAACTGCAACTTTTGCGATAACTTTAAATCATCTAATTATGAGTAGCAGCCATTGGACAAGCCAGAACCCCATACCCATACCCATCCCCATTGCCCATCCCACAAAAAGAACAACAAAAACACGATGGAACGAAGAGTCCTCTGGGGGGGAGGTAACTGCCAGTGGCAGCATTTAATTTCCGCTGTCTCAGCTCTTAGCCCTGGAACCACCACCACCACCACCTCGTCCCCATACCCTTCGAGCAGACATAACTGACACTTTACTTCATTTCTGCTGACTGGAATTAATGGCTTTTGTTGGCATAGTTTTAACGCTTGAACTTCGGGCTTCGGTTCGGTTCGGTGTATAAAATTTATGTTCGAATTTATTGCAAAGTTTATTAGACAATTTCTTGTTTTTTTTTTTGGTCCCGTAATTTTTGCGCCAACCAAAGGGAAGAATTTTTTGTGTAAATTTATGAGCTTCATAAATGACCAAAGCATAAAGACCAGCAGCAGTGGTCCGGCCAAAAGGGACAGCCAGGAAGGAAGCAGGAGTCCTAGTCCTGCGTATGAGCCACGTGCCAATTGCCATGATATCTGTAACAGAAAGAGACAGCATAACCGTGGAAGGGGAGAGCGAAGCAGAAGGAGAAGTAGAAGGAGGCACTGACAAAGTATGGTTGGTGGTAACAGCTCTCTCTTCACATTACGAAATGATGTCCGACTGAATGCAAAAATGCCATAAATATGAATGAGCTGCCGTGCAGAAAGAACCGAAGCCTTACCGCATATCCTCTGACCCTGCCTCCGCCTCTGGCTCTGGATCTGAGCATTTGCCCCATTGCTGATGTACTTTATTTGTTACAACATATTTAACTGTAGTTTGCCGCCCAGCAGCCATCCTGCAGCACCTGACCCTCCTGCATCTGTGCCTCTGCCTGTGGGGGCAGCCTTTTAGTTTCGAGTTTTCTGCTGCTGCTTTTGCTTCTGCTTCTGATTTATGGACGGCGGGCAGGCAAAACATTTCAAAAGCCAACCCAACCCCTGAAAACCGTGTCAGTGTGTGTGTGTATGTGTGTGTGTGTGCCACTTCGGACTCGGGGAAAAGTTCTTCATAACTTTGATGCCCCCTGCTCTGGCTGTCCATTCGCCTCTGCCACTTGTTGTGTCTGTGTGTGTGTGTGTGTGTCTCATCAAAAATGTATTAACGAGCTTCTGCATAGCAAAAGATTTGTATCTCCTGGCGTTGATTTCATTTTGAGCTTAGATCTGCCTGCCCTGCCCCCCTGCTGGCCCCTGCTGGCCCCTGCTGGCCCGTGAGGCAAGTTTTGGTTTAGATTTGTATCGCTGGCATTTTCAACACGTGCTGCATGCAAAACGCTGTGTGCTGTGTGCCGTGTGCCGTGTGCTGTGGCAGTGGCAGCTGCCACGGGGCAAAACTTTTAATGGT